AATCCCACTTCTGACATTTATTTTATAAATATTTTTTCAATAACAGTTTTGCTAATGCATAGATTTTTTTCAATATTTCAATCTGATGAAATAAAAAAATAAAACATTCGTGCTCCAAAAAGCATAGATTTTCAAAATAACATGTAGGGACTTGGGAGGGGAAGAGTAGGCCCATTTTCAGTAGATGGGCCTCTTTCTTGGTTGATTTAGTCTGTCAAATGCTCGATTTGTATTAATTAACAAATCAACTTGACTCGCATGCACATCAAAATGGTGTTATTTTCTTAAATATACCTAGACATACGAGTAACATAAAAAAATGACATTTTTAAAACTATTTTATGAATTGTTTTTATATTTAAGCTTTACATAGGGATGGGGCTGTAAAATACTGTCATTTTAAAGATTGTGATTGTATAAAGATATCAAATTATGAAAACTCGTAAAGAACAATTGTAAGGTATTTCATTTTTAGTACAATGCTTGCGTTATCGTATTGTTATTTTTTATACCTTTGCTAATATCGTTCGCACTAGAAAAATTTCCTGGGTCTGCCCCTGAATAGGTCCTATAGATTGTGTGATTAAAAAATAGGTAAAAGTTTGTGGGCCTTTCTGTATTGATAAAAATAAAGTTTGATCAACTTATAAGCAAATAGATGCGTTGACAAAATGCACTTACATTGATACTGATCAAAATATGTTCTAGAAATTGTGGATCTTGAAAAAATCAATATTATCGATAATATTTCCATGAAAACTATAGATATTTTCCAATATATTGGAAGAATAGTATATCCAATGAATTTTCTAGATATACAAATTTTTTCCACGAAAAAAATGCCAAAGGAATAATATCTACATAATATCTAGGTACTCATGGAGATTGGAGATATTAATGGAGATGTCAATTGTATTTTTCATATCATGTTTCTTTACATGACATATTATGGAACTGATCTAAATAAGTGTCAAAGGAGGAAAAAAATTGAATGGAGAAGCAGATTCAGTTAGACACATTTAGTTAGGGGCAAGGGTATCCTGGGAAATATGGTGAGATAGGATGTCTATAAATGTGAGAAAGGGGGATCTGGGAAGGCTGGCATTTCCAGTGATTTTTAGTTAGGAGAGATTCCAGGCCTCTCGAATTCCCTGTGAATATCTTGTTATTCAATCTTCAATAAACTTGTTATCATTCCATTAAACCCAATTCTTGTATTAGCATTTTCCATTACAGTACATACAACTCCATTACATCATCTTATTCCTAATCTTTGCTCCTTGATCAATAGAATTTTGGTTCTCAGTTGCCGTAAAAGTACGGAATCCTATCACAATGGTAACAGAGCATGCACCATGCCTCTTGGTTGCAATTGGGCGGCACGGATGGTGATGATGGCGTAGCAGTGTTCGTTTGGGATTAGTCATGGACTAGTGCAAAGCCAGTCCGACGTGGACACCGAGGTCGCAGAGCGTGGTAGATTGTTATGGTTTCCATTGCAAGGTATGCTATTTGAATCCCACATTGAAAGTATGGACATTCGTTATGCGGTTTATATAGATTTGGGCTTTCCAATTTCAACAGTTAGTTTTTGAGGTATGACTTTTCCAAGATTTATATAAATGGTTTATATTATTCTTGATATTTGACAAGAATTTGAAATTAACTATTTTCCCACCTGTAGATGAGAAACTGATGCAATTTTGACGCAACACGCAAATAGTTAAAAGTCTATTCAAGATGAAAAACTACAATTAAGTAGAATTAAAATTTGATTTTTCTTTTTAAGTCAGTGTATCTTGATATTATTTTTTATTTCAATTTATCAAGATAGGAAATTTGATGTTATCTTATGGAAAGAAAGTTTATTTAGTGGCAAAGTCCTTCACTATATAAAGGGACTTAGGGAATCGTTTTTAACATACTTGAATTATATGAATAAAGCAATTCTTCTTGTCCTTAACTCTTCCCCTTGATCCCCTTTTCTCTTTACCTTATTATTCTTTAGGGTTAATTTCACAAATGGTCACTGAAGTTACGTCAAAATCACAAAACGGTCACTGAAGTTTAAAACTTGCACTAACGGTCTTGAAGTATCATCTGGTTTCAGTAATGGTCACTGAAAACTTCATGGACCAAAATAGTTGAAACTTGAGAACTTAAAGCGCAAGTTGACAATAAAACCTACCCCACCCACCCCATCCCATCCCAAACTTCATCTTCTTCTCCAAATTATCGGCACCACCGTCTTCTCCACGCAGGCAAACTTCATCTTCATTATCAATGTTTCTGAAAGATCTTAAATTTGGGTAGAATTCCCAGTTTCAGGGAATTCAACCGTTTACACTTTTAATCCACAAACTCACCAAAAAAAACCTCCTAATCCATGAACCGTCTCGATTTTCAACCAAAACCCACCTCCAAAAGTAACCATTTTTTTCTTCTTTTGCGTTGAAGCATCATTTTCTACTGCATTTTGATCTGATTGTACTCGAATTGATCGAAAGTAGAGTGATTTCTTATGTGGTTCAACACCACTGATTTCAACCGTTCATAAGAAATCAACAGCTTTTTGTAACAAGTGGTTGCGCATCTTTTTCTGCCAATGATTTGAACAATTCACATAAAATCAAAATCCTTTTTAAGCTTCCAGTATCTATATCTGTTTTCTAGGTGTTACTGTGTGTGGATTTCATAAACAGGGTGACATGAAAAAGTTCATTTAAATCATTCAGGGAATTTTTGCTGCTGGTAATACTATGTGTAGGCTGTGAGGATTATTTTCTTTGAGTTGGGTTTAGCATGGAGTAATGGGACAAATCTGGCGAGGTGGACCTTGATGGCTCTGCATGGAGACGACGGTGGCGCTGTAGGGAAGAAGATGAAGTTTGGGGGGGTGGGGGAAGATGGTTTTTGGGGGTTTTATTGTTAATTTGTGGTTTAGGTCCTCAAGGTTCGAGCTTCAATTATTTTGGTCCATGAAGTTCCAATTAAAATGAAAAGGTCCTTGAGTGACCATTAATAAAACCAAATGATATTTCAGTGACCGTTAGTGCAAGTTTTAAACTTTAGTGACCGTTTTGTGATTTTGACGTAACTTCAGTGACCATTTGTGAAATTAACCCTATTCTTTATCAAGTTTGTGCATTTCCTGCATCAAATTGTTAGGGGATTTTTTGGGGTATTCCTCGTTGTTCACGAGTTATTTGTTGTGCAAAGTGGGTTGGAATGAACTTAATCAGATGGGCCATGGGACTATACTCCCAAACATTGAGACATGAGAAATAGTTTGGGAAATCAATGATAAGGAATTCAGTTAGACACATTCAGTTAGGGACAGGGGTATTGTGGGAAATATGGTGAGATAGGATGCCTATAAATGTGAGAAGGGGAGATCTGGAAAGACAGGCATTTTCGGTGATGTTCAGTTAGATAGGAGAGATTCCAGGCTCCTCGAATTGCCTGTGAACTATTATCCAGTTATTCGATCTTCAATAAACTTGTTATCATTCCATTAAATCCAATTCCTTCATTAGTATTTTCCATTACAGCATCTTATTCCTGATCTTTACTCATTGATCAACAGATTTCTTGTGCTCAACTGTAGCAAAGGCAGGGGATCCTATCACTTAACCGTCATGGTCCTCTCTAGTTTCTGTCTGTTATGTACTGTTTGTTAAGAAATATATGGTTATTTTATTTTATTGTTTATTAATGGTAGAATAGTCTTTTCAATTTTCTTTATTAAGCCTAGTCTCTTTGTTTCTAGGCTAAATCATTCTTTTGTATTCAATTACATTATGCAGAATTAATGAAACTCTACTAGCCTTCTTTTTCTTTTCTTTATTTCTTTGAATTGTTTAACATGGTATCATGGTCTTAACAAAAATCTGCATTCTTCCTCTGAGCCTGAGAACTAAGTGAAAAGTGCTCTATTTTTTAATATTGTAATCAGCAAGGGTGCGGCCATCCTCGAGCTGCTTACCTGCCAAAATCAACCTCTACTGGTTCAGCTTCTTAAATTCTGTCTTCTACTTTCTTAGTTTGTCAAATTAGGAATTAACTACCTGTGCTACTTATCAACAAATCATCTGTATGTGAAGAAATCAAACCTGAACAGCTGAAATACTTATGGCACCATCAATAACCCCAGGTCGAAGACCTGGGCCTGGGCCCATGTCACCAAGAACAAGGTCACCCTCAACTTCACGCTCCAATGCAACATCCAACATTGATTGTGACATATCTAAGCCAATCCATTGGTGCCCATTGTTTGTCAATGTCCCCCCGCTAAGTCCTGATTTGCAACAAATATCAAGCAATAATCTGGGCATTGCAAGAAGCTCCTGTGCTCTCTCTGAATGTTTCGCCCGAATCTCAATTATACGAGAATATGAGGCGTATTTAAGAGCTTCATCGTCATTGTAGAATATCTCCGGTGGTGTCATGAATGGTGAAATTGTTTGGGTAGTAGTGGGCTTGAGTTTAATTTGGGCCAATAGTTTTAGTATTGGTAGTGGGCTATTGGTTTTGTGTTGATGTTGGGTTATGCTTATGGCTTGTGTTTTGATAAAAAT